AGCTAATATTTCTAGGCAGGTAAGGTCATCTACTAAGGGACATGTACTAGCAAAAGGTGTTTGGTACACCTCTCCTCTCTCTGCATTAACTCTTCCAAACCTCCTAAAGGCTGACTTAGTTCCAGAAGCCTTTTTTTTTCTTCACATGATCTATCACTTTGCTGAATTCTTTCCTAATGCTTTTAGAAAGCAGAATCCATCTGCCAGTTCAAGGGGTTGTTGTGGGAGCCTGCAATGGCTGAGGAGCAGTAACCTCAAGTTCGTGCTTCAGTGAGGGTAAGGCTAAGTGTCGTCCTGCCTGGAGGCTCCTGTTTGGATTAAAAAAACAAATAGAGCCTCCCTGGTGGCGCAGTGGTTGAGAGTCCGCCTGCGGATGCAGGGGACACGGGTTCGTGCCCTGGTCCGGGAGGATCCCACACGCCGCGGAGCGGCTGGGCCCGTGAGCCATGGCCGCAGAGCCTGCGTGTCCGGAGCCTGTGCTCCGCAACGGGAGAGGCCACAGCAGTGAGAGGCCTGCGTACCGCAAAACAAAAACAAAACAAAAACAAATAAAACCACCACAACCCTGCAACTCACCATTTTGTGGTCATTTCAGACTTATGTATTCTTTAAGAAGCCAGGCTGTACAAGCTCCTGACACAGAATTCGTTTTCCTTTATAGGGAGAATTATAGCCTCTTTTTTTTTCCCTTTGACAAACTGCTTCTACTCTGACACTCTGCTTTGTGACATGGATTTTGGAGCGCCCCGTCCCCAATGTTTATTTTGCTAACACGGCCAAAATAATTAAGAAGAATCTTAAAGAACATTTATTGTAAGATATCAACTCTGGCCACCAGGAATCGAGTAAGTACTCAACTGTCCCCACAGGTACAGTTAGGACTTGCGTAGCCTTTTCCCTTTTCCACCCACTATAAATTTGCTTCTCTTAGTTTGAGGAAATCAGGCCAGCTCACATTAGGCTTCCAAATCAAACCTCATTAGGTTCTACAGCTTAAGACTCATTAAAGTTTACAATAGGCTTCCTGCGTTTTATTCAAACAGTTAAAAATAAGGCAGCTGAGTCTTTGAATCTCTATGTCAAAATCTTACATGTATATACACATCAAAATGTTGATTTGAGAGCTGTTCTTAGGGAAGGGGAGGCTAATACCATGAAAACAGACATAACAGGAAAGAAACAGGAAAAAAAAGAGTGGGGATTCATTCAGGGCTAGCCTAAAGCTATGTAGAAATATTAGGCAGTAATTGGACAGCACCACAAGGCTGGTGGCCCCAACTGTCTACTCTATCAGTCTCACATTTCAACTATCAAAGTCATTAATAGGTTGGATTATAAAGGCTGGTGACTTCTCTTAAATGCCTTACTTAAAATACGCAAGTTGCGTTTAATGTTTTCTACTTCCCTGTTATGAGCATAACAACAGAGATTAGTTTATTAGATTAGTGAGTTAATCTGACAGCTCAGTGGCCGAGGGAATAACATATAAGAAAGATTAGTTTCAGAGTATGACAGAATATGACAGTGATGAATAGTGGGAAATAGAAGGCAGAATAAGGTGGTGAGGTCTAAGGCTTATGAGTGCTTCAAGGGGCAAACTTTTATCTAGAATGTAAATCTAAAATCTTAGAAGTTTTGATGTTAATAAAAGATTTTGCAGTGATACTTTGCTTACAGTTTGATAAACACCAACATGCATATATATACAAATACCAAGCCAAGAAAAGGTATCTATAACTCATTTCTTTCTGTGACAGACGTGTATGCAACCTTAGGTCACTCTTTCTGGGATGTCAATTGTCTGCCCTGATTCTGGGACAACAGGAAGTCTGATATTTAAAATAAGGAAAACTCTATCTCAGCTGCTGCACTGACCTCCAGCTCTGCTTTTTCCTCTTTCTAGCGCCATCCTCAGATTACCTACTCTCTTCACTTAGCAGAAGTACCTCCCTGGGTGGCCTATTTCTGATGAAGGTCAACTACTTTTTGGCTTCAGTAGAATATTCTCATCTGTGTCTAATTCCCTAATAAGGTCAATAAGTTCAGGGTTGAAGACGTGAGTGTTGAAAGCCCAGGAAAACGGACTAGAAGAGATGTTCTGTAGCTTCTGAAAGTTCTCCTTACACAGAGTTATGCATGTCAGGCACTGGCCTACATAATGTGACTTCAGAGGCACTGAGTTAGTCTTCCCTGGTCTACTGAACCACATTAGATGTTCTAGAGAGAAGCTGGAGATAAAGTGGAGAACAGAGTGGGAAACAATGTACAGGAAATAGAGGCTGAAGCCATAATGGCAAACCCTGCCTGGAGAAAGTCCTGCTAATCAGACTCGCCTACAATGGAAAGCAATTACAGCCAGTTTCTTTGAAAGGCTAGCCTGGTCTTTGCCAGTGACATTAAATTCTTAGTGAATTTCCATCTCATTGACCCAGGGGGCCTCAAGCTCTGAGATCAATACCTTAGTAACAAAGCTGGTGCCAGACAGTGCTGGGAAGAAGGCTGAATTCCAACTGAGATGAAACGTGTAAGAAAGCTTTTTTGATAATGCCTGGTCCTGTTTACTCTCTGCCATTAAGTGATATACGATGATCCCTCAGCAGCCCTGAGTGTTATTCAATCACCAGGGAACAGACTACACAGCATTTGAAGTTAGAAGTGTTTGCTCTCCTTGTCCCAGTGCATCAGCCTCTTGCCAAAATGATTCTAGTTAATAAACAATGTTGAGAAGGTAAGCCTGTAAAGCCATGATATGGCTGCATAAATACCATCTTTTTCCCTTTGAAAGCCTGAGGGTTTTATCTGTTGTAAGGATACTGTTAATTCAGCGTTTGTCTGGCTCCCTTGGACCTCAGTTCTCAATCCTCTGAGACGTTCCAGGATAAGAGAGCAGATCAGCCAGCAAAGTTCCTCTGGAAACTGATTTCAGTGTTTATTAGGCAATTCTAGATTGGTCTCTTTTTCTTAACTATGTCATTGCCAACTCTGTGTACTAACGTCAGCAGCAGTACTGGTGGGATTTACAATAAAATCCTCTTGGGAATGGCATACAACTCATAGAAGAGACTCAGACCCAGGGTTTTTAAAAAAAATCTTGTGTCCCCAGATGCGGATAGCAGAAGACTCCTGCTCCCTATCCAATTAGCCATAGGATTTAGTTAAGGTACACCTGAAAGGTCTGTTACTGCAAAGAGAGGGGAGGACAAGGAACATCCCCTGACCACTTTCTCTGTACTCTGTGCTAGTCTAGGCATTACACTACATGACCTCAATTCTCAACAGCTCTAGGAATTATTATTCCTTTTATGTAGATGAGAAAACTGTCTCAGAAACATTATGTAATTTTCCAAAGGCCACAGTTCCTAGAAGAGGTAGGATTTATTAAGCAGGTCATCTGACTCTAACGTTTATGTTCTTTCCACTACAGCATGTTTCTTTAAAAAGTTTCACTCTTAGGGAAGACAGCACAGAATCTACTGCCAGGCTTAATATCGTCATCAGAATCTGGAACTGATTTTCTAATGAGTCAGCATGAAGTAGGCCGAGCAGCATGCCCACAAACACAGGTGTCTCTAACAGGACCTGGTGAAGAACATGCCTTGCGAGTAATAATAAAATCCCAGCACGGTCAGAGACGGTCAGCCTCTCTGATGACTCACAGCGGATGGCACAGGCAAACCTGGCCTATCTTCTTTTTGAGCCATAATAAGCTCTGCGTCTGTCAGCTATGTTCTTGGTATCTTCTTTGTTTCCAGGAAATCAGGACTATACCTGCTTTTGAAAACATCAACTTTATTAAAGGAATAATTCTTTCAAAAAGGAGTGTGAAGGAGTAGAAAGCACACCTCACTAGGATGGTAGATATCTAGGTTCTACCCAAGAGAATGGGAAACAGTTTCATATTGAGTCTGGTTTGTTGAGCTGAGAAAGATTAAGCCAGGGTCAAGCTCATCAGGAAAGAGTGCTGGGGTAAATCAGTGACGTCGGCCACGGGTGCAGGATAGGGGAGTGGTGGTACACACAGCACATTTGCCATTCTTCTTTTAACTCCTCTTCCTTTCTCCCACCTGTTAACCTTATGGCTTTTCACAAGTGATTCAGCATTTTAAGGCCTTTATAGTAAAATAGGGATAATGACACTTTATCTAAAGGTAAGAGTGGCTAAATCAGCTGATCTCAAGTCTTTTTCAGCTATAAGGTGTAAGATTCCATTTTCCACTGTAAATCTTAGCATCAGCTGGGCTCTAATGGGGTCAGTCATTGGTGACTTTAACAATGGCATGGCTTTTAAAAGGGCACTCACAATTTTAAAACAATTCTGCTCTAAGTCAAAGAGGTGAACAATGTATCAATTCTTTCTGAAGAATACTGAGGAAGTCTGTTAAATGGTTAAATTAATTACCGCCTGGGATCTGCCCTGGTGGTGCCATGGTTAAGAATTCGCCTGCCAAAGCAGGAGACACGGGTTCAAGCCCTGGTCCAGGAAGATCCCACATGCTGCAGACCAACTAAGCCCGTGCGCCACAACTACTGAGCCTGTACTCTAGAGCCTGCAAGTCACAACTACTGAGCCCGTGCTCCGCAACAAGAGAAGCCACCGCAATGAGAAGCCTGCTCACCACAACGAAGAGTAGCCCCTACTCGCCGCAACTAGAGAAAGCCCGCATGCAGCAACAAAGACCCAATGCAGCCAAAAATAAATTAATTAATTAAAAAAAATTAATTATAGCCTGTGAACCCTAGTGGAATCAGAGAAAGTTGTTTAAAAAAATACAGGAATGTAAGGAGCATTCTAAACATCTATGCAGATTTTGAGTCTTAAAGAAATAATATTGTGAGAAAATAAACTTCATTACAGCCTTGTCTTAAGAAGAAACAGAGATGATGCTTCCTTCATGTGAAATGTTCAATGAAGAACACTTCTCACTGTTTTCAATACCCATGCTCCATGCAATAAATACAAAATAGGCTCACAAATTGCTTATTACAGATCTATGGCTTACCTGGGATCACAGAGAAATTTGGTTTTCTCTCCTTCTTCTCTCCAGATAAGCCATTCTCGAAAAGAAGGATGTACAAACATACGAGTCATGTCTCTGCGCTTGATTAGGAACATGGAGAGGTTCTCCATTCTCTGCTGAAAATCCTCCCATTCTAGCGTGCCTTCAATGCTGCCAGCATTGATGGCTTGGAAGATATGTTCATCAGTCAGTGGGTGGAGAGAGGCCACTGCCACATTCAGGAGAGGCATCACCCGGTCAAAGGAAGACTGGGTTGGGAACTTCATATTGCACTGGAGTAAGTAAACCTCAGAGAGCGAAACAGGAACTACTTTGTAGCTAGAGCTCTTTAACACTAGATAGCCTTTCTCTATGAGGTCAAATGTGAGTTTCAGGTATAGATAGGACCCTTGACTGAGTGTCTTGAGATGAGAACTGAGTTTGCCAAATGTAGTATTGTCCATTTTGCCATTAAGTGAAATGTTATTCTGGATCTCTGAGCTGCTGTGTATCCGGTGCAGGATGTAAGCCTGCAGGTCCTGGTCTATGGCTTCATTCTCTTCTAGTCGATCCAAAAAAATCCTATGGAAAGGCAGCAGCTTGGTAATTTCCTAAAACAGATGGAGAGAGAGAGAGAGAGAGAGAGAGAAAGACCTTCAGTTTCCCCTAACTCTTGTGATAAGCTACGAGGTCCACAAATTTATTCTGAACTTCTGAGTGGTCAAAGAAAAGAGGGAAATACGATCGAGTATTAGTGTCCATAGATTAAGACATATTAGTGGAACAGGAGGGACACTTTTCCTAATATTGAGACTTAAAATAACTTTTATGGGTCTTCATAAAGGGCACTTTAGGAGTGATTTAATGGTCAATATCCTAAATAACACTCACTCCTAAAATAGAAAAGAGAATGCCATATAACTTTTGTTGTAATTTTTCTCAATGTAAACCATAGCATAATGTCAAAGTACAACTCACTAAGATAAATGTAAAAGGATTTAAAGAATGTCATATAAAAATGTGACCTTCTATCCCGCCTGATAAAATGACTTTATTTTAATGTAGGTTTTTTGGAGATGCCTTAGCCCAAAGGAACACTTCTAATAGTGGGAAGCTTGGCACCTTGGTGATCTGCTTGGAAACTATATTGGGGGAAGGTGACAGGGCTTTGTGGTGACTCTCATGCTCCGGAATCCATCTTTTCTTATCTGCTTATAGACTTTGCTCCTGTAAGTATCTATTCCCTCTCCTGCATTAATTTCCTCTTCTCTTCTCTTTCTGTCTTGTCTCCACACAGACATGTAACTCCATATTCCTCCCTCCAACTACTATCTCTCTGTTCCCATGTTTAGCAAAACCTAACAGAAAAGTTTTCTCTACTTACTGTATTTCATTCCTCCCTTCCCATTCTCTCCTCCATTTGTTGCAATCAGGCTTCAATCCTGTCACTTCACTGGAATGGTCCTTGTCAAGATGATCAACAATCTTCATCTTGCCAAATCCAATAACCAAGTTTCATTTCTCTTCCTCCTCAACCTCTCAGCAGTATCTGACACAGGTGAACACATCTTTCTTCTCGAGTCCCCTCCTGCAGCTTTTGCTTCCACAGCATGCTCCCCTTATCTTCCTCTTAGCACACTGGCTACTCCTACCCAGCCTTTCTGGCTGGCTCCTCTCTCATTTCTCAGTCCACCCAGGGCTCACGTCTCCATTCTATCCTCTTATCTGGCCACCCTCACTCCCTAGAATAGTCGGGTCCCATGGTTCTAAATATCATCTATACATGGATGATGTCAAATTTCATATTTCCAGCTTAGTAATTTCTTCTGAGCTCTCATCTTATATCTCTGTCTACTCAACAATGACACTTGGATGTTTCATAGACAAACTTAATGTGTGATCAAATCAGAACTACTAAAATTTCCCCCCACCACAAAACCTCCACATGTCAATAAATGGTATTACCACTGACCCTACCACCAAATCGTAGGAACTATCTATGATCCTTCTCTTTTCCTCAAACCAGCATCTACCCAGTTGCTCACCAAAACCCCACAATTCATCCTTGAGTCTTCTCTCTTGCTCATTCCCACAATCAACCCATCATCAAGTCGTTTTGATTCTTCTTCAAAATATACTCCAAATATGACCACTTCAGAGGGTCTCCACTGTTCCCACTCTAGTCTAAGCCACCATCACCTTTCACCTGTACTTCTGCTTCCATTCTTGATCCCCTACATATTATTATCTACACAGCCAGCAGCCAAAGAAAGTAAATCAGATGTTATCACTTTACAAGGCTCCTTGGAGAGGCCTTTCCTATCTGCCCTATCTAAAATATCTGTCATCCTCATTTATCCCTTTACTCTGTTATATTTGTTTTCATAGCACTAACACTACCTAAATTTTTAATATATGTTCATTTTTTACTTTATCATTTGTGTTCCTCACTAGAATACAAGCTTTATGAAGGCAGGGATATTGTCTGTCTTGTTCACCATCGTATCCTCAGCTCTTAGAAAGAGCCTTTTATACTTGAAGTATGTAAAAAATGTTTGTGGAAATAATGAATGATCAATTATGAGGGTTCATTTTTAAAGACCTAGGAATTGTTTCATTGTCAGCTAAATAATTTTTAAAAGTTATTGGTTGAAGTGAATGAAGTATCTGGGAAGTTACTGCAGGTCTTGATCTATGAAGACATTGACATTTGGACTTTGAGTGTATAGTTCTTTTCCTGTTCTTTGGCACAGCTGAAAAATTAAAGTCACATGGTCTACCAAGTCATACTTAAAACGTCTTTTGAGATTGCACACGGCATTATATAAAAATATAAACGAAGAAAAAACCAAAAACAAACAAACAAAAATTATAGAAACGAAGATATCTCCTAAGTACGTACTTAGTAAAACTAGTCAGAGATTGTGTTCCTGGAAGTTTCTTTTATTCATCTTTCATCTTTAACAAGCTACTGACCAATAATGGCGGATTACATAATTTTTAGTTGTAAAGATGCATTTACGTTGATTCATTCACATTCCTCAAATTACTTTGAGATTTTAATAACAAACATCTGCAAGTTGGTGGTCAGGATCAGAAGTACAGTCTCTGATCAAAGAAGGCAGATTGACCTAAATTGGTCAATCTATAGGAAAAATACTAAATGCCTGGGAGAGGGGAAAAAGAGGGCACCGAGACTATTTTCTGTATATTAACAACTGTTTTAAGGGAGTTGCATCAAAATAGTGGGATGGGTGTATAATATGTAAAATTTTAATGTTCTTTAAAAGAGGCTATGGTTAGGGGGAAAAAGGTTGAGAAACCCTGTTTCAAACCAAGTGTGAATATGTAAAGAATGGAAAATACCAACTCAGCTATACTGTGAATGGTAGAGAAGGTGGAGTCATTTATCCTTAGCCCATATGTCTTTCACAGGCGCAGTTCCAACATTCCTAGTCATTCTTCTAGGCCATAAACTGAGTGATCAGTGAGTGAGCAGGGAAGGTAATTAAAAAAAACTCTTATCTCCCAGTTGCAGTAAATTTAATATAAAGCCTCAATATTGCCAATATTTCTCAGAAAAAAGAAATATATAGAAGAAAGTCCATCTTCATGCTATAGAAAGTTGAGAAACAGAAGGAAGAACTAGAAAATCTGACTCTACACTGTATATTGAACTGGATTTTGCTTGGCATTAAATGATAAAAAACATAAACCAAAAGTCAAACAGTGAATTAGAGTGTTACAGCATCTATTTGCTTTGCTATACTCACGAAAAAGTCTAGAAAAGTGGACTTTCTTTTCGTGCTTTTTTGAGGGACACTTTATCAAAACTTACCCAGAGCAATGGAAATGGAAATTTGAACTAAGAGAGTAGTATACAGAGAATGCTCTCTCTAGATTATATCTCTTACTCTCAAAATATGCTCGTTGGGAATTACTCTTGCTAGCACTCTAGGACATGGTAGAGATTTAGAAAAGCTCATCACTAAGGGTACAAGGACCTAGAACTTTTTCAGTTTAAGCACTCTCCAAGGGAAATAATTTATGGTCCAAAAGCAAACAAACACATACCTGTAAACTGGTCCTAACTGTTACAATTAGTTTGAGCCAGGAAGGAAATTTTCCAATCATTTTACTCAGAAATGATACAATTGTATCCCCATAATCCGGTTTGTGAAATTCTGCTTCATTTAATCCATCAATTAAGATGATGAAATCTTCATCTGGGATTTTTCTCTCTGAGATAGAAAGAAACAAATTACTTAATAATTACCAAGTGGGTAAGTGAGTTCTTTCTGGGTCTTTGATCAGGTATCTCCTTGGAAGAAAATATTAGAAAAGGTCTGTTGTGTATTTAGTGAATGCTAAGGGTACGTAATTTATTATAAAGACGTAGAATAATTCATTTAGTGAGTTCATTTTGCTTTTCACCAGGTATGAATGTGTTTGTCACATAAATAATATATAAAGCATATGTATCATCATCATTTCCCCCATGTTATCAGTTTTGAGACAGCCTGAGCAATGCATTTATGAGAATTTGCACATGTAAATTAATTTTTCTCTCATACCTGAAAAAGCTGGAAAGAATGTTTTTCTCCCCCTCAGCCCCCCGAATCTGACAGCATTAAAGAGAACAGTATCACATGTTCTTTGGGGAATTTCCAATAAAAAAGGTTTAATTTGGAGTCCACAGCAGTATATAAGACTATATGTGAATACGTAGTAGGAAGGAAGGGATGGAGGAACAGAGAAAAGGAATCCCAACCAACAGACAGATCTACACTAGGCAGGCTGGATTCCAAGATCTTACAGAACCAGCAGCTTCCTAGACTATACCTAAAGCAGCTTCAAGGAGACCAGACCCTTACGTGATCTTTCCAGGGGAGCAGGAGCCATGTAGGAAAGACAAATATCTTTTGTTTTCCTTTCCCGCCTGGAGTCTATACTATCCTAAATTGACAAAATCAGTTTATCGTTAGGGCTAGGCTGCAGAAGACTTGGTAAGATTTCAGGTTTCCACTCCCATTAAATGCTTACTGATTCTTAAACAATACTGAACAATTAGAGATTTAAAAAATCCCCTGGCTGAATGAATATTTCAGTATAAATGAATTGCAAATAACAAGTAAAAGTTCCTAGTTGGTAGGACCTTACAGGTTCTGAAGAGAGGAAAGCAGGGGAAGAGAGAAACAAGTCACTGGATGCCTGAAACAGGAAATAGGTTATATCTGAGGAGGAAAAAGAAAGTGAAGCTGGGGACAGAAGGAAAACTCTGAGGAACTCTGTACCACATTGGCTCTTTCAGCTTTTGAAAGAGTCAAGACTAATCAAAACTCTACATATTTCTGTTTCACATTTGAAATGCAGATTTTTTGCATGATTAATAAATCTTTACATTTCCCCTCTAAAGTACAAGCTTTACATAAAGGAATTTAATTTCAATAGCCTAAGTACTATAAATTAGTTCTCAAATTATAAAGAGTTTTAACTATTACTTTCATCTGGTGACTTTCAGAAGAGAAATGAACTATGGATTTCAGCTCTCTAACTGTTAACAATGATTATTAATGAAATGGCATTCTAGATGATGTAGGGCTAAGAAAACACATTACTTCTTTAGAGAGTCCAAAGAATTCCGGAAGAGAGGAGTTGCTTGGAACTAACTGGGATTTACCCACACAAATGGGGGCTCTTAAGTTCTTGATTTTGAGGACCTTGGCTCCCTTTAGCATACTTGTGTCTTTAATTCCCATAGAGGAATTTTCTAATTGATTCTGCTTGGTGATATACTAGAGCTATCCTTTGTTACTGAGTAGAAACTTAAAGTATGGTGCAAAACGTTGACTCTCATTTTTTAAAGAAAAATATATAATTTGAAATCTAGCTCCTGAATCGAAATTGAAAGTGTTTTCAACTGAACTTTCCTGGAAAGAAAACTCCAGCTACCTTTAAAAAATTCCCTATTTTAAGAACTACTGTGATAAAATTTATATATAATTAATACAATTAATTGTGAAGATCTTAACTGTACACTTTGGTGAGTTTGGACAAACATGTATACTCATGTAACTAACATCCTGATCAAAGTAGAGAACATCTCCATCATTCCAGAGAGTTCCCTGAGGTTCCTTCCCAGTTCTCAATAGGCAACCACTGTTCTGATTCATATCACCATAGACTATACTTGCTTCTTATGCTTGATACAATGTTTCTGAGATTCATTTATGTAGTTGAGGGTATTATTAGTTTCTTCCTTTTTACTACTAAGAAGAATATTGAGAATTTAATACTAAGATTTCATTTAATATCCATCGAATGAATATACAATTTGTTTATGTTTCCATAAACATAAACAATTATTTGTTTCCAGTTTTTAACTGCTATGAATAAAGTCAATATAAACATTTTTGTATGAGTCTTTTTGTAGACATATGTTTTCATTTCTTTTGGGTAAATACATAGGGATAGAATTGCTTGGTCATAAGGCAGATTTATCTTTAACTTTATAAGGAACTGCCAAATAGTTTTCCAAAGTAGTTGTACCATTTTAAACTCCCACCAGCAACGTGTGAGGGTTCCAGCTGCCTACCATCCTCACCGACATTTGATGTTCAACTTTAAAAATGTTAACCACTGTAGTGGGAGTAAAGTGGTGTCTCGTTGTGATTTTAATTGGCATTTCCCTGACGACTAACGATGGCAAACACCTTTCTATGTGCTGGCAGCCTATTTGAATATCTTCTTATGTGAAGCATCTACATTTTTTGTCCATTTAAAAATTGGATTATGTATCTTTTCAGCAATGATTTACAGAAATTCTTTAGATACTATGGATACAAGTGCTTTGTCACACACGTACACAGAGTGAATTATTTTCTCCCCTTTTGTGATTTGCTTTTCCTTTTTTTAGTGTATCTTATGTTGAGCAGACATTTAACATTTTGATGAAGTCCAATTTATTAATTTTTTCCTACATGGTTAATGATTTTTAGGACCTAAGAAATCTTTACCTACCCCAAGGTTGTGAAGATATTCTAAGTTTTTTCTATTAGCTTTAGAGATTTAGCTTTTATATTTTAGACCATGATCTATCTTGAATTTATTTTTGTGCACCTATGGTGTGAGATAAGGATTAAGATTCATTTTTTCTCCATACATGTATCCAGTTGTTGTAGCATCATTTGATGACAAAAATTCTCTTTTCCAAATTATCTTGGCATCTTTGAGGAAGGTCAGCTGACTCCATATGTGTGGATTTCCTTTTAGATTTTCCATTCTGTTCCACTGATCCATTTATCTATCCTTGTGGGAATACCACCCTGTCAGTGGACTGCTAGAGCCAGCTCAAGCTGGTTCATGGGAGCTGACTGCTAAATTTCTTATGGACAAATCAGGCCCCCACCCCTGGACTGATTGTTAAACATTTACTAACATATTACTGCCTGTCATGATTTCTGTAGCTTTATATTAAATCTTGAAACCAGGTACTGTTGGTCTTCCAGTACTGTTGGTCTTCCAATTTTTTTCTTTTTTAAGATTGTTTTGGCTATTCACAGTCCTTTGAATTTCTGAAAGCTGTCAATTAAAAAAAAAAAGATCCTGCTGGGATTTTGATTGGGATTATGTTGAATCTACAGACCAGTTTGGGGAAAAACTCCAATCTACAAACACGGCATATCTCTTCCATTTACTAAGTTCTTTAATTTCACTCTGCATGTTTTGTAGCTCTCACTGTGGACGTCTTACACATCTTTTGTTAAATTTATTCTAAGCATTTTGATTCTATAGAAAACGGTATTTGTTCCAGTTATCTACTGCTGCATCAAACAGCTAAGAGTTACTCAAATGGCTGGGAAATGGAATCATCTGCAACAAAAACTCACATGTTTGGTGTCAGGGCCAGAATGACTTGATGACTAGAACAGTCAACTGGAACACTAACATACGGCTGCTCCATGTGGTTTGTACTTCCTCACAGCAGGGTAAACTCAAAGTAGTCAGTCTTTTGACATGGCAATGCATACCCCCAAAAGCAAGTGTTTCAGTGAACAAGATGGAAGCAGCATGACCATATATGACCTAGCCTCAGATATCACATAGCATCATTTTGTAGTATTTTATTGGTTGAAGCAGCCACAAGTCTGCTAAGATACAAGGGAAGGAGACACAGACCCTAACTCTGGATGGGAGGAATGTCAAAGCCACTTTTTAAAACTGCCACACTACTTTTTAAATTTCAGTTTTCAGTTGTTTGCTGCTAGTATATAAATACAACAGATACTGCATATTAACCATATAGACTGTAGCTCCACCTATGTTAATTCTCGTAGGCTTTTTTTTTTCTTTTGTAGATTCCTTAGACTGTTCTAGGTAAACAATCACATCTGCAAATAAAGACAGTTTTACTTCTTCCTTTCCAATCTTTATACTATTTGCTTGTTTGTTTTCTTATTGTGCTAGCTTGGACCACACATGGAATGTTGAACGTTAAGTCGCCTTGCTCCTGATAGTAGGAGAAATGTATTTAATATTTCATTGTTACCTGCATATCCTTTATGAGACTAAGTTTTCTTCTATTCTTAGTTTGCAGAAAGTTTTTATTGTTAATTGTAATATTTTGTTAAATGTTTTTCTGCATTTGTTGAGATTATAGATATATACTTATATAAAGACATATAGATTTTCTCATTTATTCTGTTAATATTATGAATTACAGTGATTAACTTTCAAATGTTAAACTAACATTGCATTCCTGGTCAAGTAAAACTAATCATTTTGCTATTAGTGTGTTTCAGGATTTTGCTATTATGGTTATGAGGAATACATGTCTGTAATTTTCTTTTCTTATAAAGTTCTTATCATATGTTGGTTTCAGCATTAATGCTTCTCTAATAAAACAAACTAAGAAATGTTCTCTTTTCCTTTATTTTCTGAAAACATTTGTGTAAGATTCATATTATTTCTTCTTGAAATGTTGGATACAATTCATTAGTAAAACCACCTGAGCCTGGAGTTTTCTTTTAACTTAAAAATTAAATACATAAGAGCTAGTCAGATTTTCTCTTTCCTCTTGAGTCACTTTTGGTAAGTTGTGTTTTTTATAGAATTTGCCCAATTTAAGTTGTTGAATTTATTGTTATATAGTTGTTCATAATAATCCCTTATTTTTCTTTTAATGTCTGTAGGAACTGTAGTGCTAGCTCCTCTTTCATGCCTGATGTGTTTTCCTCTCATTTTCTTGATCAGTCTTCCTAGGGGTTTATTCATTTTAATTATTAATTTTTTTCTATTTCACTGACTGCTGCTCTTGCTTTTTATTATTTCCTTCTTTCTGCTACCTCTGGTTTTATTTTCCTCATTTTTTTCTAGTTTATTAAGTCATAAACTTAACGACTGATTTTATGTATTACTCAGTTTGAAATATTCTATAATTCGCTTTGTGATTTCTTCTTTCTCTAATGGGTTGTTTAGAAGTGCACTGCTAAATTCCTAAATATTTGGGGATTTTATGTGTATTGATTTCTAATTTAATTACATTATCTCAGAGAACATTTTCTGTTAAGATTTTAATTTCTTGAAAATTTCAGACTGATTTTATGGTCCAGAATAAGGTCCATATGCACTTGAAAAGAATGTATATTGTGCAGGTATTGGGTAGTGTTCTATAAATGTCAGTTGGATCAAATTGGTTGACAGTGTTGTTAAAATCTTCTATATATTTACTAATTTTTGTCTACTTGTTCTAACAGTTACTGAGAGAGAGGTGTTAAAATTTCCAACTATGATTGAGTATTTGTCTATTTAGCTCTTTGGTTCTATCAGTTTTTGATTCATGTATTTTGAACCTCCATTATTAGGTTCATACACATTTAGGATTACTTTATCTTCTGATAAATTGGTCCTTTTATGTTTATCAAATGCCCCTCTGATAATACTCCTTGTCTTGAAGTCTACTCTGCCTCACATTAATAGACCCACTCCAGCCTTCTTATGCTCCATGTTTATAGAGTATATATTTTTCTATCCTTTCACTTTCAATCTGTGTCTTTAAATAACCTCTCCTGCAGACAGCATATGGTTGGGTCTTGTTTTTAATCTAGTCTGACAGTTTCTGCCTTTTGATAGAAATATTTGGTCAGTTTAAATTTAATGTAATTATTGATATGGTTGATTTTAATCTCTCATCTTGTTGTTCTATACTAAAAAAATTACTCTGTTCTTTCTTTCCAGGCTTCTTTTGGATTAATCAAACAATTTTTAGTATTTCATTAATTTTATAAATTGTGTTTCCAGTTATTGCTCATGATGGTGATTTTGTTTTAAGGGTAAGAACATGGGAATTTGACAGAATAATTAAATTCACTCAGAACAACATTTACCAATGGGGATATCTAAATCTGGTTATGGAGACCTAATTGAGAAGCAAATATATCTAGTAGCAAAATGAAAAAACACATGAATTACGGTTGAGAATCCAGAGCTGAGTCTGCATGCATTTGGATATTCTCCTTGAATTAGCCTTAAGATGTAGATCCTTGTATCACTGACTTTCCTTCAAGGTACCCCTACATGTGAACAATTTCTACGTTCACTTATTTGTTCAAAATTTATTTCCTGAAATGCCTACTATGTCCAAGGTGAGGTAATCACTATGAAGGATAAAAGTTGAATAAGAAAAGGTTCCTGGGCCTCCCTGGTGGTGCAGTGGTTGAGAGTCCGCCTGCCGATGCAGGGGATACGGGTTCGTGCCCCGGTCCGGGAGGATCCCACATGCCGCGGAGCGGCTGGGCCCGTGAGCCATGGCCGCTGAGCTTGCGCGTCCGGCAACGGGAAAGGCTACGACAGTGAGAGGCCCACATATGGCAAAAAAAAAAAAAAAAAAAAAAAAAGAAAAGGTTCCTAACTTCAAAAGCATGCAATTTAGTCAAAGGAATAAGTACAGAAATAACTAATTCTTATAAAGCACAAAGTATAATATCTGACATATAATAAATGTTCAATAAATGTTAGTAATAAAAATTTAAGTTCTTATTATACATACAGCAATGTATGAAGTACCATAGGTGAGATATAACAAAGAAAAACCTATTGTCAATTTGGAAGGATACTGTAACTTACTGGAGGGGGCAGGTGGATCAGCAGGTATTTCATGAATGAGGTGGTATTTAAGGTGGTCCTTGAAAGATGGGTAGGATTCTGACACGTAGAGATGTGAGGAGAAGGTATATCAAGAAAAGGAAACAATGAACAAATGTATGAAGGCAGGAAAATGGAGGGGAGTATTTAAGGATTAGTGGATACTTTGGTTTACATGTAAACACAGGGTTCATAAGGGTAAAAGTAGATAATAAGGCTGGAAAGTCGGTTGGATCCAGGCCATTAAGTACCTTAAATGATAGGTCAAGGAGCTGGAAGTCAATTCAGTGAGGTAATAGGGAAGCACTGGAGGTTTCTGAACAGGGAAATTTAGTGATAAGAGCAATGCTTTAGGAAGCTTTATCTGGAAGCAGTACATAAAGTCTAGAAGACTGGAGAGACTGGGCAGAGACTACCCACCAGGTATGCCATTAATGGGTTAGAGGTGTGCCTAAAAATGAATCCCTTCAGCCCTCAGGGCTTTGGGGGATTTGTGCAGCTGTAGCCTCAGAGCCAGCCATGTCCAGCCATGTCCAGCCACGAGGAGGCATGATTTTTTTATCCCAATGTGCTACACAAATTTTAATAATTTTCCAAGTGTGTTATGATGTGAAAGAAGCACTAGACCAGAAAACCAGAGAAGACCAGGAAGGGTAGCAACACAGATGTGATTATCATGGGCAGCTGAGCAGCCTTCAGGGTAACAGTGGCAGGAATGACTTTGGGACTAACAGATGTGAGAGACATCAGGAGGGCAGAATTAACAGAATTTAAAGATTGACTGAATGCAGAGAAATTCCAATGTTTAAAAAAGTCTAGGGTATGGGCTTCCCTGGTGGCGCAGTGGTGGAGAGTCCGCCTGCCGATGCTGGGGACACGGGTTCGCGCCCCGGTCCGGGAGGATCACACATGCCGTGGAGTGGCTGGGCCTGTGAGCCATGGCCGCTGAGTCTGCGCGTCCGGAGCCTGTGCTCCGCAGCGGGAGAGGCCACAACAGTGAGAGGCCCGCGTACCGCCAAAAAAAAAAAAAAAAAAAAAAAGTCTAGGGTATGGTAAAGCTAATAGGTAGGTAGTAGAAGTATAGATAGAGTTCATCAGCATTGAGAAGAGAAACTCTGATATCCAAGTAATTGGCATGGAAGTTCACATAACTGAAGATAGAGGCCGGAAGAATGTAAATTCTCATAAGTATCTCCAAAATGCTCAAGTATATAAGTCTCTCAGGAATAAACAGGATTGCTCAGCAATCTCATGCTTACTCAGGTCCTTTTCTTCGGCTTCCAGCACTGACAGAACATTAGGAAGGGGGTGAGGCAGAGAGACGGGTGAAGGGGGAGATGGTTACATTTAGGTCACAGCCAACACTTGAGCTACAGAGTTAAAACGGAGGAAAGGCATGAGGCGTGAGAGGGAGATGGATCCCATTTCATTTTCCCCCACTTCTTAAAAATATCGTAATACCTTTTCGTGGACAATTAAGTAATTTTTAGCATATACACAGTTATGCAACTCTACATGCCATTTCATTTTACCTGACTGTGGAGTAATAAAAAAAATAGCAAATATAAAAACTGAGGATATTTCTAACCATAGAAACTCCACGGCACTGGGTTGGAATCATGGCTTTACTCATTTATTTGAACTCCACGGAAGGACTGGTAGCTCTACTACCTTTAGTTCAAGAGAAATGCATTATATTGGGAAATAAGAATGAGAATTTTTACAAAGAAAGGAGGAAGTAGCAATTCCTGGAGGAATTTTTATTTTTTCAGGTAAAACCTTTTATTTGTTAACTGTATCCTGTAGGAACATTTAGTTTTCGCAATGTGATAAAAATAATCATTTTTATAGCATGACCCCAGGTGAACTTGGGCTTCAGAGCCTCCACCTTCTACCTGCTTTGCACCTCATCTGTACCTTTGTGGAGATTCTCCAGGGGCTCCAGCACTCCCCTCCGGAAGGAGGCCATGGGATCTTGAACACAGGACCGAAGGCTCAGCATGCTCTGTAGGTGAGGCTCCCGGAGAAGCTGCTCCCGATAGGCCGCCAGCTGGGGGGAGCGGCAGAGCAGAGCAGCAACATTGTGGACGAATTCCGGCACCAGGCAGGTGTAGGCATTATCTGCTTGGCAATAGTGATAGGCAACCACCTAAAAAAGAAAGATGAGAACACAGACAGGTTTATCAGTAGCAAGAGCAACAGTCATGGCTACTGTACAATCATCCTCTAACAGTCTTCTGTCTCCCCACTGCTCAACTTCTTCAAGTAAAAATAAAAGCTGCTAAGCTTTAAAACTGCCTGATTTATCTAAGATCAGAAATTTCACCCAATATTTCTCTTGTATAGGTATGGTATCATAATTCATAATTAAAATGTATAAATACAAATTGAGTTTTCCCTCTGGATTACAAGAAATAGGAAGCAGGCCTGAGAATAAAGATTTATATTAATCTCTATAATATTTATTCAGCATAGAGTAGTAGAGGAAAGAGTCTGATATTGTAACAAAGCATTAGGGATAAAACAACCAGAGAAATACCATATGTTAGACTCAACAAACATATGCTCCTAAGGCATATTGTAAAAATTATTAAAAAATTATAATTTCATTATAAACAGTCTTATAAAAAATAAAATGACTCAGACTTAAGAATTATCACTAAGTATTTCCTGAGCACCCAGAGACAGAATCAGAATTAGATAACCAGAAGCAGAAAAGGAGTGAGATTTTTGTCAGATGCAGGTGTTAAATTCAAAGAACTTAGAAAATGTATGCATCTTAATACCATTCACGGTCTGGCCTGTCAGGCTGGAACCTGCAATTTTAAGCTCTGTTTTTTTTTTGCGGTACGCGAGCCTCTCACTGTTGCGGCCTCTCCCGTTGCGGAGCACAGGCTCCAGACGCGCAGGCTCAGCGGCCATGGCTCACGGGCCCAGCCGCTCCGCGGCATGTGGGATCCTCCTGGACCGGGGCACGAACCTGCGTCCCCTGCATCGGCAGGCGGACTCTCAACCACTGCGCCACCAGGGAAGCCCTGTTTTCTTTTTTTTGTTTGTTTGAATTTGCACAGGGTTCACTCTATACCTTCTGGTTGTTCCCGCTGCCTCAAGGGCAAGTGCAGAGGGTGATTTTCATCTAGACCACTCTGTTGGCTCAGTACTACCTACAAAAGTGATGGGATTGTGTAGATAACAAGAAACTGCAGGGGAGATTCAGCCTGAATGTATGGAAAGCATTGACATGGTGCTCAGAACATACAAGCGCACAGTAATGTTAGCCAATGCCGCCACCACCATCATCATTGCCTTCCTTCTTCTCCTCTTCCATCACATCATCTCCATCAACATCATGGTCATCATCAAGGTTCTGTATATACCCTCTCCTTTTCAGCTACTGGCTTTGTACCTACAGGCATTTGAAATTTGCCCTAGGAGCTTGCATAGACATACCACTGGGATCCCAGCTCCTCAATCATCTCTCAGAAAACAGAGTCATCCACGAAAGTGTTCTGCTTTGAAATGACTCTTAATCTAGCTCTTTAACCAATGCTGGGGTTTCCCTGGTGGTGCAGTGGTTAGGAGTCCGCCTGCCAATGCAGGGGACACTGGTTCAAGCCCTGGTCTGCGAAGATCCCACATGCTGGGGAGCAACTAAGCTCGTGCACCACAACTACTGAACCTGTGATCTAGAGCCCATGAACTGCAACTACTGAGCCCGTGTGCCACAATTACTGAAGCCCATGTGCCTAGAGCCCATTCTCTGCAACAAGAGAAGCCACCACAGGGAGAAGCCCGTGCACCACACTGAAGAGTAGCCCCAGCTCGCCGCAACTAGAGAAAGCCCATGTGCAGGAACAAAGACCCAACGCAGCCAAAAATAAATAAGTAAATAAATAAATTAAAACAAAAACCCAAATGCTGGAAATGTCACTTTTTAAAAAACACCTGAAATTGTTCTCATTAAGAAAACTGAACAATACAGGAAATGTTACCACACATGTAAAGCTGAGGATAGGAAATTGCTTGTGAGTGAAGCAATGATGTCTGAGCACAGTGTGGAACTGGCAATGAGGAGGTGTACTTAGAAATCTCCACTCCTTTCTGTAGACAGATTGATTACAGCTTTATTACTGACCTTAAGCACAACATAAGGAACCCAAAGAGAAAACTTGGCAGCAATCCATCTGTGCTCTCAATGAACAGTGAATGTCAATGGTTATGCCCACAAGGACACAAATCTCCACTTTATAAAAAGCAAACAGCAAACCTCTGAATCAATATGAACTTTCATCATATTTTACCTCAATTGACTTCACATGTCAAGGCAAAGCACAGCTGAGCAAATCAGCTGTAACTTACCCTTTACCTAAAGTAACGGGATAGGAGTTTGAAGATAAAAATTCTAAAATTTAGGAAGAGGGTTCTTTTACCGATTTCATTAAAAATCATCTGCGCTCTTGGCTGTATGAGGTTTTATCTAACAAAGATCATTGCTAAAGTTGCCCCTTCTGTGGCTGCCTTTTGTTCTTTTAATTTAAAAAATTTTTAGGCATTCTAAATATAAAATCTCGATTCCTCTGAAGAATTCAGGCAGAAAGACCATTCAACATATTCATGAAATTTGTAGATTGACTCAGAACCCATCATCTACTAGACATTTCAAAGCAGCTACATAGTATGTAAATGTACACACAATCTGTCAAAAACACTTGGTACTTCCCCTTAAATTGTCTATTGACATTATCTACAACTTTTCCTACATATACAAATAGGAAACAAGTCTGGGAATGCAGTTTTTTCCTGCATTCTCTCATTGTTCTAGTGTTCAGTGATGGATAATAGATCACTCCCTACAGCTCTGAGGAAGTCATCACAGCCACCCATACTCAGTCACTATTATTACAACTTCTTGGAAATGGTTCAGAATTAGTCCACCCTCAATAAATCAGCAGGTAAAACCTTTCTGCTTGGTGAACTCTTGTCTCTCACAATGACTTGTTGAAATTTCATTTTCAGCTATGTTTTTCTTATGTTATTAATTTTTTTCCATCTCACATTTTCCTTATGTTAAATCTCTATACTTTTGATTAAAACAATTCTATCCAAAATATATCTAATATGACCAAAACTGTAGTAATTCTTTGAAGAGGACAGTAACTTTTAGATTACTGCTGTGAGGGAGGAAAAAAAAGGCCAGGTTTGTAGACTATACAGACCAAAAAAAAAAAAAAAAAGACTGGGGGTCAGTATCACCTTGGGTAAAAAAAGGTTTTTTTTTAAAGCTATACACAAAAAAAGA